GGGGGCTTGTTTCAACCTGACGGGGGTCTTTCCTCACCACAACGGGGGCTTGTTCCACCTCACGGGGGCTGTCACTTCCTCACGGGTCCGTTTCTACCCAACTGGATCGTCCCTCCACACCGGGGACGTTTCACCTGACGGGGGTCGTTCTTCCTCTCGCGGCCGTTTCACCTCACCGGGGTCGTTCCAACTTCCTGGAGCCGTTCGACCTGACCGGGGTCGTCCCTACCTCACGGGGGCCGTTTCAACCTCACCGGGGTCGTCCCTACCACACCGGGGCCGTTTCGACCTGACCAGGGTCGTCCCTACCTCACGGGGGCTGTTTCAACCTCACCGGGGTCGTCCCTACCACACCGGGGCCGTTTCGACCTGACCGGGGTCGTCCCTACCTCACGGGGGCTGTTTCAACCTCACCGGGGTCGTCCCTACCACACCGGGGCCGTTTCGACCTGACCAGGGTCGTCCCTACCTCACGGGGGCCGTTTCAACCTCACCGGGGTCGTCCCTACCACACCGGGGCCGTTTCGACCTGACTGGGGTCGTTCCTACCTCACGGGGGCTGTTTCAACCTCACCGGGGTCTATACTCCTAGCTTTAAAAATATCTATGGCTACAATGACTTGGTATTTGGATTAATTATGCTTTCAAATATAGCTGTAACAGAACCAAATCACATTAGAAATTGGATATGGGATCCAAAGGTAATTCTTTATTTTATTTAAATTAGTCTTATCTTCCCCAAGACCCCTACCCACTGGAGTATCTTCAGGGGAAAACAACAACAAGAAAAAACAAATGTTAAGCCACTCCTCTAAACCCAAGTGACTTAAATTCTTTCTGTATTTCTCATAATAACTCAAATGGCATGTTAGGTGGGAGTTTTTCCTAGAGCTCTGCAGACATTTAGCATCCTGTGCTCTCTCCTCATCCCTACCTCCTTCTTTTACAAAATGCAAGTAACATAGCATGTGACACCACCAGCTCATCCACCCTCACACCTTCCCAAACACCCCCTTGCAGGTTAGTACTGCTGTCTCCCTAATAAAAGAATCCTAAGTAATGCTCAGGTACTTAGGCAAACCTTCTAGATCCATCCCCACCCACCTCCTCTCTAAAAGGGCATCTGGGCTTTCAAGGAAAGGGGGCCGGTGAGGATCCTCAGATGGGTGCAGTGTTCCCAGGTCCTCTGGTTTCCAAGGAAATGGTCATTACTCAGCTGACTGCCCTTCCCAGCTAAAGTCAACGGCTAGTGTCATTCATGAGCTGGTCATCACATATAAAGTCAACCCTGTTGCCACATGATTAAATGAATATTATTCTCAAATGTGACACTGAGAATAAACTTGTTGCACAACTGATCTGTCCAATTATACCTTGGTAAAAGGAGGAAACATTCCTCCTTTTTTGATAGAAACATTCTTTTTTGATAGAAAGTTATAATGCTATGACAGTAGGACATTCAGTTAAAAAATTTGTTTCTCAATTCTTAGGTATTGGTGAGAATTTCAGTCCCAAAGGTGGAGTGTACTAAATTAAAAGATTTGAAATAGCTTCAGAAGAAAAAGAAAGGGCTCACTTATACATCTACAAAGAACAGAACATTAAAATACCCAAGATATTCTGAATAAATTAGCACATTGAAATTTCTTTCAACAGTTTATTAAGGTCACTGTCATTAATTCTTATCTCGCTGGGCCTTGGATGAAGCAATAAGCTTTGATGACATATGTCTGCTTTTGCACAGAAAAGAACCCTGAAATACTGACGTGTTCCACTAGTCCAGTCTAAGTTTCCTAAGCAATGTCATCCTAGTAGATGGTATCTAAGACTTTGTTCTTTAAAAAACTTTTTTCTAATAAAGTACAGTTGGCATACAATAGTATATCAGTTTCAAGTGTACAACATAGTGATTCAACATGTATATGCCTTATGATGTGATCACCACAATAAGTCTAGTAGCTGTCAACATGCAAAGTTATGATATCATTGACCACATTCCCTGTGCTATACACTACATTCCCTGTGGCTTATTTATTTTATAACTGGAAGTTTGTACTTCTTATTCCCTTCACCGTTTTCACTCATACCCCCACCAACCTCCACTCTGGCAATCCTCAGTTTTCTGTCTCTATGCAAACAGGACTACATTAAACTAAAAAGCTTCTGCACAGTGGAAGAAACTATCAACAAAACAGTGACAACCTACTGAATAGGAGAAGGTATTTGCAAATGGCATATCCAATAAGGCATTAATACCCAAAATATATAAGGAACTCATACCACTCAAAATCAAAAACAAATGATGCAATTTTAAAAATAGGCAGAGGACCTGAATAGACATTTCTCTAAAGAGGACATACAGATAGCCAATAGACATATGAAAAAAATGCTCAACATCACTAATCAACGGGGAAATGCAAATCAAAACCAAAATGAGATATCATCTCACACCTGTCAGAATGGCTATTATCAAAAAACAACAAATAACAAGTGTTGACAAGAATATGAAAAAGGGAGCCCTATGAGATTGTAAATTAGTGCAGACATTATGGAAGGGAATATGAAGGTTCCTCAAAAAATTAAAAATAGAACTACCATATGACCCAGCAATTTTCCTTCTGGCTATATACAAAAAAAAAAAAAAGAAAAGAAAAAAGAAAAAGAAAGAAAGAAAACACTAATTATAAGAGATGTATATGCACCATATGCTTATTGCAGCATTATTTACAATAGTCAAGATATGAGAGCAACCTATGTGTCCATCCATAGGTGAATGGATAAAGATGTGGTATATATGTACAATGAAGCATTACTCTGCAACAACAACAAAAACAACAAAAAAGACTGTTCTTTGAAATACCCATAGTTCAGAGCACCTAGTGCAGTCTTTTCCACAGGGCTCTGAGACTTTTTTTTTTTTTTTTTTTTTTTTTTTTTTGCTGAAGACTCAACCACTAGTCTTTTGCCTAAACTAGAGTCTCAGACAAGCTTCAGAGAGAAGCAGAAACCTGCTTAATAATGAGACTGAATTGCTGTGGTCAATTTATTACAGTACCAATAACATCAGAAAGAAAAATACCCTAAGAGCTATTTCATAAGGGTTTAATCAATGTTTCCCTTGAACTAAGAACCTATTATGGATAGTGAGGGCAGTGACAAATTTCTAAGGCCTTCTTGTAAAATCTACAATTTCTGAAAATTTTAAATGAACTTAACTTAGGGAAGGCTCTGGTCTGAAGTTTTCCCCATGCAATTCTTACAATAGCGGTGAGGTAGTTAAGAAATATGCAGCATACCACACAAACCTACAGTTTTCTAGTATCTCTCTAGTGCTAATACTCTTGTGGCAGATAGAGAAATGCATCCTTCAGATGTTCAGACTTTTCTTCAAGGAAGGACTGGTGGCCGCTGGCTATTAACTCCTTCAAGTTGGCCTCAGCTTTTGAGTTTTGGCAATGCTCTTCTTGGGGTGGCCTCTGCTAATGACCAAGCAAGAGGTGCTACAAGGACCGAGATTTTTGCCAAGTACAAGACACTTCTACTAGGTAATCCTCATGTTGGACCTTTCTGTTGGGCTTCCAGAGACTTTGTCAGATCTGCATTGTTGTCTGTTGACTATTCCTGCTCAATCTTGCTTCCTGCCTTTTCCTTTCACAGGTGTTACTTCTGTCTCTATCTCTGTTCACTTGTCAGAGGACCCAATAGTACCAGGATTGACCCGAAAAAGTTGTAAGTTGGGATTTTGAGACTGAATCCCTCACTGCCTGACTGGCAAAACGCACACACACACACACACACACACACACACACACAACAAAAAACAAACAAAAAACAAACAAAACCACCATCCCTGGTGATATATGGGGCACAATGAGTCCTTGGCCCAGTATGGTAGTGCAATTGCTAAAACTCTTCACTGCCAGAAGCCGGTCCATCCTTGCTGCTTGACACAGTCGCTGCAGAGAAGAAACATCTGCACAGCATATGTTTCAAGGGACCTGGCGTATATGGCATATGTTTGCTCCCCCTCTTAGCGCTATGTGTTTTAAACAGGACCACCTCCCCGAGAAAGGTTGTTTCCCCAGGTGAGGATTTTTCCCTGGAGTTAGGGATTAACAGGACTAAGGAAGGGAATAAAACCTCTTAACTAAGTGCCAGGTGGGTAATTAATCACTTTAACTATGAACAATCACTCTTAAACTACATAATCTTTACTTAGGATAATCTCCTTCAGTTACTTCATTGTAGCTTAACAGAACAATGGAGTAGTGACCTTGGAATAGAGATAACAAATGCCCTAACCTTTGGAATAGAATGGATAGGATTAAAATCAACTGGTATAAATACAGATGTAACAGGAGAATAAAGAACAGAACCTGGCTGGAGACCCTGACTAGAGAACCTGGCTAGGCTGCTGATCAACTGAACACTGTCTCCATGTCATTTCTTCTTTGCCGACTCCGTCCACACCTTTGGGAACCCCTGGACCTGCTGGGGTTGGACCCCAACACCACTGGCAGAGAGCACTGGAACATAATACTACACAGGGTGAGTTTATTGACTTTGGGTAATGCTCTTTGAATATAGGGTTAAACATCCCGGAAAGGACCCAAAGGGGTGGAGCAAATTCTCTGCCAGGGTGACTTCTAGACACCTAGAGAAAGCACTGTCCCCGGAATGTGTATAGAGAGTGAATCTCCATGGAGCAAGAAGTGAACCATGACAGACACAGAGATGTGCTACTCAGATACCTCTTCAATGACAGCCTTCACCTGCTAACACTTTGAAGTCCACCTCAGGTATTGAGGCCACATTCTCCTTGTGCTGGCTCCAGTCAATGACTAAGCAGGACTGTGTTGCAAGGGGACTCTTACCCTACCAATTTATCCCAGTGTGGGACTCTCACCCCTGCCCCATCCAGTTTCCTGCCTTTTCCTCTCACCTTTCCACATTCTTAACTCTATCCACCGTTAGCTTCCTGAAGGACCTAATATAGAGGCATCATCTTCTCCCTACAGAAATAGCTTCTCCTCATTGCTACACTTTGTTTATGGTCCAATATTTTCCCATTCATTTAGGCTTCAAATCTTGGAATTCAGTACGCATGTAACCGCTTGGTAACATTTTTTTGCTTAGATTCTCCGTCTAATTACCGAAAAAGTCTGAAAAAGGGTGTTTGCTCTTTTTAATAATTTCACATGAAATGACTACTAGAGTTTACTTTTTTGCAAATGCGAAGAAATGGTTTTAAAGCAGATTTTGACACGTCCTAATCCCTACCAGGATTCCCATGAGCCACCTGACTGTACTCTCTGGCGCTTATCCAGAAGAACTACAATTCCCGTCGTACATTGCAGCATTCACAGACAACTGCTTACGTCATTTCCACCCATACAGGCGGGGGATGCTGGGTTTTGTAGTTTGTGTCAGCTTCTCTTTTGTCGCTGTCTGGGGACAGGAACAGCGTGACCGGATAGACTGCTCTGATACGGTTTTTGAAATAAATCACTAGGAGAACGTATCAAAGGCAATGCAGCGGCAGGTTTTTATGTGTTTCACGTTCCTCTTTCCTCCTCCTGCCGTGGCCGGGAAGGGGAAGTGACGTACTTCCGGTGTAATGGCGGCGCGGTGGAGTTCCAGGTAATTATCTAACTCGGTAGACTCGCCACCGGCGGCGAACCAGAGTGGGGGTGATGGGTTGCCGGACCGGGTGGGAAGAGCAGCGGGCCCCGGGGTGGGTGCGGGTTTGCTGGGGGGGCTGTCGGCAGCGCCGGGGCGCGCGCGGCCGCCTTCCCGCCGAGCGCCGGCCTGGCCCGCGAGGTTGGAGGGTGAGAACCGGCCGGGCTGAGTCTGAGCGGGTGGGTAAGGGGCGACCGTGAAAGCCCGTCCGCCTGCGCGGATGGACCCAGCTTCCTAGCGAGGTGGTGGGCACTATGTCTCCGCGGGGTCTTTGTGGCCGAAACCCTGCAGCGGCGCTGGCTCTCGCCTTCCGTGTGGGGGGTGTTTCGGGCGCGAATCACTGGGAGCCTCTCGAGTCGTTTGGGCTCGAGGCCCCGCTCCGCGGGCTGCGCCGTGAGAGGGATTCATGGAGTGTAGTCATTCAAAAGCAGTGGAAGTGCCGCCCCTGTGCTGCTCTCCGTCGTTTCCCCGTGACTGCTGCTCTAAGATGTCCTCAGTCCTTTCTTTTTCCTACGAGATGATTGTGCTCAGCGCTTGCTCGAGGGGCTCTCTGTTGCTCCGTATGGGCTGCCCTCCTCCGTCCTCCTCTTTCCTCCCGTAAGTGATCCACCTCCAGTGCCTGGTAGCTCCGGACTGGGCTCCCCAGTCACCCCCTTCCCCGGAGCCCGGACCCGACAATGCACTCACATGTAACGGGAAAACAGTAGCCAATGTCACCGAGTCTAAGCGCAGCGCCGCCCCAGTGATGGCGAACCTATGACACGCGTGTCAGAGGTGACACGCGAACTCATTTTTTTGGTTGATTTTTCTTTGTTAAATGGCATTTAAATATATCAAATAAATATCAAAAATATAAGCCTTTGTTTTACTATGGTTGCAAATGTCAAAATTTTCTATATGTGACACGGCACTAGAGTAAAGTTAGGGTTTTTCAAAATGCTGACACAGCTCAAAAGGGTCCTATTGTCACATAATCCTCAGGACAATTTTTTGAGATACATGAAGGAAAAGGTTGGGGAAAGACTATTTCAGATGCCAGACTTTGGTGATTGCCAGTGTGGTAAGGATTTCTTTTACGTGTGTAGGTATCCAGACTAGAAATAGCAAATGGACAACCAAGCAGACTTGGGCGTCTGAAGACCGGGCAGCCTGCCTCCTCCTTACCTGGCCTTATTTTAGGATTGTCTGTGAACTGGAAAGGTAACCTTAGTTACCACCCTACCGTGGAAAAGCACAGTTAGGATTGCCATGAACAGTGTGATTTTGATCAGAAGCAGCATTGTTACAGGCACGATCTGGAGGAGGAGGAGACTGACTGTGTTGGTGCCGGGGGACAGAGATTTCCGTCCCTCTTGAGCTTGTTTAGTTAATCTCTCTCTTGGGGCAGGTTCCCTAACATCTTTAGTCTCAGCATCCTCATCTGAAAGTTGTGGTTAATAGTAATACCTACCTCAGTGGGTTCTGAGGATAAAGGAAAGTAATTCATGTAAGGAAGGCATTGTGCACAGTGCACTTTTAGCTGCTATATTATTGTTACTACTATCACACAGTTGATGAATTCGCCGTCTCGGTTCTTGTTCTTTGGTTTTGAATGTTGCCCTTCCTCTTATGTGCCCATGCCACTGTGATGGAGCCTTTCCCACTTCCTTTGACTGGAGCTCTGAAACTTCAGAAGCCAAGAACATTGGCCCAGTGGTTCTGAAAATGTGGTCTCCTGAATCAGCGGTACTAGCATCTTCTTGGAACTTGTTAGTAATGTAAATTATTGAGCTTAGCCCAGACTTGTTGATTTGGAAAACGCGGAATGGGTGGATCTTTCAGTCTCTTTTTTACCAAACCATCCATGTGGTTCTCATGCCAGTTTGAGAGCCGCTGTTCTAGCCCATCTCCTAGCCCATCTATTATGGGCCACCCCACCCCCAGAATTAGGTTTGCTGCCTTCCCTGTTGCAGAGTATTTCATCTATAGCCAACCAGTACATCCCTGTTAGGCCGCCTGCGCTTCCCCACTTTGACTAGTGTAGTCCTATCATTTCTGAAATTCTGACACTTCCGGGACTACTTAACTGTCTTTCCTAAACCAGCCAGAGCTCTGTCAGTTTTCCCAGCTTTTGAATTGTGAGAGGTTAACTCTCCTAACTGGTGATTGTGCACTGCCAAGGGGTCTACAGTGGCTGTTGTACCTGAGACCACCTAAGAGAGTACACAGTGACACATTGTGTATTTATAAAGCCCATGCCTTAATTTGAGCATTGTTCCCTGTTTATTGCCCACTTGTATTTAGTCTAAATTTTGTACTACTTGGTGTAATCCTAACTTGGTATAAGTCATGGCTGGCCTAGAGCTAGTTTAAGAAAAAAGTGATTATTGGTAATAGAGCTGATCCCACTGATGACTTGGTGGGCTTTCTTGTATTTCTCTACTTTTCAGTTCAAGTCTGAGAATCTTAGCATGGAAGGGTGGTGGAACAAGAAGGCCTCTGGCATAGGATTTCAGCAAACTTCCAAACTTACTAAACCTATAGCCGAAATATTTTACCTCAGTATGTGTAGTTCCCAAGTGGACATTGGAAGAGACATTTCAATGCCTACAACGAAGGGCAAAGTTTCAAAGCATTCTCTTCAAAAATAATACATCAGGAGGAAGCAATGGATTAAAGCAAGCCTTTGCCATTTGTAGCCAAGCTAATAAGTCTTTCCCAGTGATGAAATACCAAAAAGATCATATGGGCTGTTTTGGCCTAGGGACACGTGCTCCTGTCATATAGAATAGGTTAGCTGATGGGAAGGAGAGACCCTTTGGAGATTTATGTTTAACTTGACTTGGAGCCTAATTCATAAATGTATTAGGCTAGGCAGAGTTCAGCACTTCCACCTGAAAAGCTACCGTGACTGCTCTTCCCTGAATTAGTTTATTAGGACACCTTTTGATCAGGACAGCTGGTGACAGGAGCCTCTCTAGTGGAACATAGTGCTGTGTGTCTAGGGGCTACTGTACTTCATAAATCTCTGGAGGCTACTACCTCCAGATTTTCTTGGAATGTGGTTTGCTAAATGGCTCTTGAATTAAATACTTAGAAAGCCCACGTTGAAAGCTGTGCACACCCCGACTGGGTATTGAACCGGAAAGCTGGGTATGTGCCCTGACTGGGAATCGAGCCAGCAACCTTTTGCTGCATGGGATGATGCTCAACCAACTGAACCACATGGGCCAGGGTAAGAGTGGTTTTTATAAATGTTAGTTGAAGGTGTGGAGGTAAAGATGTTCTTCCAGTGGGACTGTGGAGAAAAGATAATGACTATTCATTTAACAAATATGTATTGAGAGCTTTCTATATTGGGAGTATGGCAATGAACAAAACAGACAAAAATCCATGAGCAAAGATTAACCTCTACAGCAGCGGTTCTCAACCTGTGGGTCGTGACCCCTATGGTGGTCGAATGACCCTTTCACAGGGGTCGCCTAAGACCATCCTGCATATCAGATATTTACATTATGATTCATAACAGTAGCAACATTACAGTTATGAAGTAGCAATGAAAATAATTTTATGGTTGGGTCACAACATGAGGAACTGTATTTAAAGGGCCAGAAGGTTGAGAACCACTGCTCTACACAAAAGTAATGTTAGAGGGGTGGAAAGAATAATAGAGATAGGAGGAAAACTAGGTGAACCCAGTGTCCCTGTAAGCAAGAACTTCAGTAAGAGGAGCTTAGCAATACCAAATTATAGAGTAATCTTTTGTAATAAAAGGGGAATATGCAAATTGACCAAATAGCGCAATGACCACCAGGGGACAGATGCTCAATGCAAGTGCTGCCCCCTGGTGGTCAGTGCGCTCTCACAAGGGGAGCGCCGCTCAGCCAGAAGCTGGGCTCATGGCTGGTGAGCGCAGCGGCAGTGGCGGGGAGTGGGCCTAAGCCATCAGTCAGACATCCCCCAAGGGCTCCCTGACTGCAAGAGGGCGCAGGCGGGCCTGAGGGACCCCCTCCCCTTTCGAGTGCATGAATTTCATGCACCAGGCCTCTAGTGTCAGGTAAAAGAAATGGTCCCTGGGTTTAGCAACAAAGAGGTCATTATGTAACCTTGATAAGTACTTTGTAGTGGGAATAGAAAACCAGATTTTGGTGGGTAAGTGGAGTTAATGGGTGGTTAAGAATTGGAGGCATCAAGTGTAGACTTATCAAAAAAAATTGGCTGTTTAAGGAAAGATAAAGAGTATGGGACTAGAGAGTGGACAGAGTAAAGGGAACTTGCCTCATAAATGCAATGATAAGTTCAACATGTAGAATATTTAAAAACCTCAATGGGAAATCAATACTATAAATCAAGAAATAGCTGATAGAAATTTTGAAACAAAAATTAACAAATTCCTGCTCGCATAGAGCCTATATTCTGGTAAAAAGGAGCACATTAGAGGATGTTCCTATGTAACAGAAAAATATTTTTTTAAAACTTTAAGTAGTGTCCAGGTCAATGTAGCTTAGTTGGTTGGGCTTCATCATCCAGTACACTGAAAGGTTGCCCGTTCACTTCCTGGCAGGAGGCCTGCAGAAGCAGTCAATCAATGTTATATTCTCACATAGATGTTTCTCATCCTCTCCCCCTCTCCTTTCCTCTCTCTAAAAGTTAATAAACTATTAAAACATTTTAAGTAGCATATCAAAATGATCACATCACTAACTTTGATTTCTTTAGTTACTTAAATACCAGCCAATACGGACTTGCTTGGTGATATAGGAAATGAATGGTTATTCCCAGTTTATAATGAGTTCTTTTTAGTATGAATATTGGTATCACTGAGTTCATTAAAAAGATAAGAACTTTTAGACTCTGTTTTTTGTTGTTGTTGTTTTAACTCATCGGAATCTGTCATGAGATGTCCCCAAATTGGTGTGGACTCCTCTATACATAGAGTCACAGACCAGAGACAAGTCAAATGCTTTTATATTGTTTGTTCCTCATCACTTACAAAATCCCAGCAGTATCCAGATACTGTCTGCACAGCTTCCAGCCCTGTACTTGAACATAGGAATATTCAGTCATTGAAATGGTTATGAGTGTGCAACGACTAAGAAAAAACAATAGGCAGTACAGGTCTGCAGTTTTTTATTTGTAATTCTTGAAGTCAGAATGTTTTGACATTCAGAATTTTTCAGATTTTCGAGAAGAAATTTTAGGGCAGATTTTAGTGCAAATATGTTAAGTAATCCCCCTTTTGGGGTCCTGGCAAAGTCCTCCAATCAAGCACATTAATATTTCTGCAGCACATCAAATGAGTCTCATGAAGTCTAAAGTTGGTGCTGCCAGTTGAGTTTACAACAAGCTTAAAAAGAAAAATCTTTCTATTTTCAGATTTCAGAATTGCAGATAAGGGATTGTCACCCTGTAATACCTGGTGACTTTTTCTGAAAGGGATAGGAGTGTGTTGGCGTTTTTTCCCCCTGAAATTGGGAATTATGCTAAAATCAAATTACATCACTTTCCTTTATGTGGTATACCATGGGCAGATTTTTTCTCTAATATGTACATATATAAAAGCCTAATATACAAATTATGCCCTCTGGAGTTTGACTGAGAGACAGAGTTCGATCGCTTGCTATGACGTGCACTGACCACCAGGGGGCGATGCGGAATAAAAGAAGGCCCCGGCTGGCAGCTAGCATCCAGGGAAGGGAGACCCCAGCTGGCAGCTGCTAGGGACCTTACCCATGCACAAATTTCGTGCACTGGGCCTCTAGTGTACATATATTTAAAAAATAGCAAGAAAAAAATAGAATGGTTTTCTTAAACAAAGGGGTTTTCCTTCAGTACCAACAGGGAAAGGCCCTAACAATCTTGTCATTAATGTTTAAGAACTGTGGCCAATCTGCTGCTACTGTCTGTTCCCTCAGAAGTAAAATCACTGTTCGGAAGGGGCAGGGGCTTGGATCCTATTTGAGGATTTTCCTCAAGATCCTCCCTCCCCCAATTATATATTTTTTGCATTTAGAACAAATTTAAACTATATTTATTTTGAATATTGATTAATATTACCATTATTCCCACTGGACAACTATGATTTATGGATTTATATATTTTTATTTTTTTAACTGTTAAAATGTCTGAAATTTGTCCAGTCTGCTGTTACTGTGTAGAATGCAGAAGAGCAAACTAAAGGGAACCCACTCCCCTTTTAACAATTTTATGATAGTATATTTTGGTGAGTTCCTCTAACCTGGGTTGAGGACTTATAAGGGATGATGGTAGAAATGTTGTTCTGAAATAATAGAGAAAACAGTGCATTTTGGCCATTGGTTGAATATATTTGCATTTTCTGAATTTTTGAGATAATTGCAGAATTTATAGTTTATTCATTTTCAGTTAAAGTCCTTCTTACAAATGTTATTAAATATTTGCTTTCTGATGTAAAATTGTCATCATTTTTAAACTACATCTCCTTATAAAATCTCCTTACTAAGGAAAGGAGTTGTGGTTTTGCTGAGTTGCTTACTTGTGACAAGGAGAGGAAAATTTAATAATTCATCATAAAATCCTCATAGTGGTGCTAAAAAGAGCAGCGAGAGCTATAAACTCTGGATAAATTGCTCTCGTTGCAAGAATTTCCAATTAGACCAAATATCAAGCATGTACATGTTGAACTCTAAGAATTTCCCTAGAGGGAAATTTATATAAATCTGGATGGTGATAATACTTTAAACATTTTGTTGTTGTTGTTAGAACTGCAGTACCAGTCTACCTTACAATATTGTCAATTTCATACTTACATTTTGGGACATGGTATACTTGATTGCCAGAATTTTATTTGGTGATGATGATTGAAGGGTGGTAGAAAGAGGAAATGACACTGATCAGAAAGAAAACTAATTAAATTTAAATAACTAAGGTACATTTGAAATAAAATACATAGAAAGTTGCTTTTTTATTTTATTTTTAATGTGTTGGTAGGTTGAGAAGAGTGACCAGATTTAAGACCCAAGAGGAATATCAAAGGAAAATGTTAAATTTTGCACAATAGTTATGTGCTTTAGATTGAAATTATATTTTATATATTGATAAGTTTATAAAGTATGTTACGTATATTGTACTTATTAATATTGATACCATGCTAACTATTGTAATAGAAACTTTCCTTGACTTAGTGATTGTGTACATCCCCATCTATATTAAATGGTAGCAGCTTTATGTCACTTTATAGTGTCAAGGTTATTTGTGTACATGGTCTAATGAAAAGAATACTTATTTACCTGTCCTCAGGCTAGGTTTTTACTTATGGTCCACCACTAACTATCATAGCTTAGGGCATTAAATGAGTTATCTGACTTTCATCTTATCTTTAAAAAGAAGAAATTGTACTAGATAATATGTAACATTTTTTTGCATTAAAATTAATATTTTTCCTAGTTGTATTCAGTTTTTTTAGTACTGAGAACAGTTCTTTCTCTAGATTCTTTATCTTAAAATTGTTTTTCTATTTCATATTGTTTTTGTAATTCTGTGCTATGCACCATATTATAAATCATTTAAATATGCAATTCTCATAAACCCTAAATCACTTATATATGTAACTCCAATAAAATACTTGGAAACATAACTATCAATTTAGCATTTTTCAAAAATTCCTAAAATGTGTTTAACATGGATAGTGAAATTTAATTTTAGCATTTAATGTTGATGACTAGGTTTATTCTGAACAAATACTTAGTTCTCATAAGTGCATATACCTGAAGCCTTTGAGACTTGATTATGCTAGCTAGCTTGATTATGCTATTATTATAATACCTTATATTTTCATGCAAAGTATATTTATCTCTGATTGATCATTATTACAGGAACTTTGGATATTTTATAATTGTTTCCTCTTTTCACTTGTTTTTTGTGTGTGTTTTTTTATAATGTCACAATACTATTTTATGATGTAGATATATTTCTTTCATTGAGAACAAGTTGAATAAAGTTATCTGACATTAGTTTTTAAATTAACTTTTTTCTTCTCAGTCATAAGAATAAAATATCTTATTGCCCTTAATGTACCCTTTTTATTATTTGCTCTCTTGTTCAGAATCTTTGCTAATAATATGTGTTCTTTATACATGATTATGTGGAGCTATTTAAGGATTTTTTTATTATTGGTTATATCTATGCCTACTGACTACGAAAAATAAGTTGGTCAAAGTTAACAGAGCTTTCTTCGGTATATTTTATAGGTGATCCTTGCAGACAGAAAAAGTATACTGTCAGAAAATTCATACCATTTGGGACTTGTTATTTGGACCAGCTTAAGGAGTCTGATTGATAGGATCAACTGGCAGCAGAAAATGAAAAGTAGTGTGGCACAGATAAAAGTAAGTCTTTAAAACGTGTAATAAAAAAAAACAAACATGTAGTCAATTACCTATCCTTTAACCAAAAATGCATGTATATAATTCAGGCAGTAAAGTGACATTGTGCATACATCTAACACAATTTCAAATGTGCATACTTGGTCAGGTGGGAGTAATAGTGTTCAAAAGGACAGTTGAGAGAACATACATGGTGTGTATGCATGAATCAAGAAAGTGCATGTTAGTGGGCACATGAAAAAAAAAATAACAGGGCAGGAAATCCTTAATGCACATGAAATGAACTGTGATGCCCAAGTGGTTGTAGTTCCTGCATATCTGTCTACAAGTGAACCTTTTGTTGCATAGTTCATTATATATATGAGCTCTATATCCTGTGCTGTCCTTTAGACATTATACATTCAACAAATATTCACTGGATTCTTACTGTGTCTCAGTGACTGCTCTAGGTACTTTGGGTAAAAGGGTGAACAAAACAAATCCTTGCTCATGGAGTTTGCATTTTAGTGGGAAGAGACAAAATAAATCATAAACTTAAAACATAAGTAAATTACATGGTCTGGTAGAGTACTAAGTGCTTGACTGTGCTATGAAGAAAAGAAATAGGATAAGATTGAGCAGTAGCACTGGAGGTTGCAGTTTTTAACCCCTAGAGTGCCGGGGAGCGCAATTTCGCTCCTCCTGTCTTTCGCCAAAAGTGCCGGGAGCGCTATCGCGCTCCTCCTGCAGTGTCACTATTAGATGCTAGTAGTTCACTCTTTATTGACAGATGGCACCTAAGTGCAGATTACTTATGATGCCAAATATTTATAGTTCTAAAATTGACCACTGGCATTTATCTGCCTAATTTTTTACAGGTACTACGATTTTATGAAGTTTACTCAGATTTTGTAGCCCTAAAGCTTCGAAATGGCATCCAGTTCTAAGTCTGCTTTTATTATCTAAATATTTTAGATTTTTTTTATCAAAATCTTATTAAAAGTTAAACAACAAGACTATACTTTCAGGGATCATTTCTATAGTTTGTCACTAAAAGTTAAACAATATCTTCATTCATGTATTCAAAGTCAACATTAATTTTATTTTAACATATGTTTTGTTCAAATTTTTTTCTACAAGTATTTTATAATACAACCAGCAAACAATATATGTCAAAGATGAAAACAAATGTAGTAAAGGTTTCCTTAAGTTTTGAATATGTAACTTCATTTACTTGCGATTCATAATTTTTTTCCTAAACTGCTGTAAAATCAGCAAAAATGTCTTGGCAATTTTAGCATAGTTCCTAGGATATTGGTTGGCACTCAAAGGGTTAATAGGAAAGGTCCATTGAAGAGGTAGCCATTTGCCCTGACTGGTTTGGCTCAGTGGATAGAGTGTAGGCCTGCGGACTGAAGGGTCCCAGGTTTGATTCTGGTCAAGGGCATGTACCTTGGTTGTGGGCACATCCCCAGTAGGGGGGGTGTGCAGGAGGCAGCTGATTGATGTTTCTCTCTCATCGATGTTTCTAATTCTCTATCCCTCTCCCTTCCTCTCTGTAAAAAAATCAATAAAACATATTAAAAAAAGAAAAGGTAGCCATTGAAGCAGGGACTTAAAGGATATGAGGAAATTAGCCATACACGTGTTTGGTGGAAGCATGTGCCAGGCAGAGGGAACAGCAAGTGGTGGTCCAGTCTGGCTGGAACAGGTTATGAAAAAGGAAGCATAGGAGGAGATGAGTAATGGGTCAGTAACTCCAACTGCTTTCAAAATTGTTTCTCTGCCCAGATGGTGTGGCTCTGTGGTTGAGCGTTGACCTATGAACTAGGAGGTCACAGTTCAATTTCTGGTCAGGGCACATGCCCAGGTTGTGACTTGATCCCCAGTGGGGGGCATGCAGGAGGCAGCCAATCAATGATTCTCCCTCATCATTGATGTTTCTTTCTTTCTCCCTCTCCCTTCCTCTCTGAAATCAATATCCTATCTAATAATAGACAAACATGGTAATTAACCATACCTCTGCTACGCTTCCCATTGGCTAATCAGGGTGATATGCAAATTAACTGCCAGCCAAGATGGCGGCCGGCAGCCAGGAAGCTGAAGCGAACAGGAGGCTTGCTTGCTCCAGTGATGGAGGAAGCCAAGATTCCCCGCCTGCCACTTCTGGGCTCTGAGCTGCACTCTAAGCAACAATGTTGCAATTATAGAAGCTAAACAAACCCCAGATACCTGCTTTCAGCCGTCAGAGCTGGAGCGAGCAGGACTGCAACAGTGTTTCAATTATAGAAGCCAAACAAACCCCAGATACCCGCTTTCAGCCAGCCAGCCTGGGAGCTGGAGCCGCAACAAAGTTTCAAGTACAGAAGGTAAATAAATCCCAGACTAAAAAAAAGAAAAAGAAAAAAAGGAGAGACTGGGAGCTTCAGTTGCAGGCTTGGCCCACCTGAAAACAGCCCTCAGCCCCTCATCCAGGCTGGCCAGGCACCCCAGTGGGGACCCCCACCCTAAAGGGGGTGCAGGCAGCCTGAAAACAGCCATCAGCCCCTCGTCCAGGCACTCAGATTTAGACTGACATCTTTTCTACAGAGGGAGAAGTGTCTAGTCTCTCTCAGATCTTCCTGCTCCTCTTAGACCAGAGGTTCTCAACCTGTGGGTCGCGACCCCTTTGGGGGTCGAACGACCCTTTCACAGGGGTCGCCTAAGACCATCAGAAAACACATATATAATTACATATTGTTTTTGTGATTAATCACTATGCTTTAATTATGTTTAATTTGTAACAATGAAAATACATCCTGCATATCAGATATTTACATTATGATTCATAACAGTAGCAAAATTACAGTTATGAAGTAGCAACAAAAATAATTTTAAGGTTGGGGGTCACCACAACATGAGGAACTGGATTAAAGGGTCGAGGCATTAGGAAGGTTGAGAACCACTGTCTTAGACTATGCTTCTCCACCTTCCCTCTTGTGTTACCAATGGGTCCTCTGTGATCCCTTGAGCCATGATTTGGACCCTCCCAGTCATTTCCCAGTTTAGTGTGTTTCCCTCTATCCTGTAAACCACAGGCAGGTCCACTAGCTGGGTTGGAACCAATCTTGCCTCAGGGGAAGCTCAGATCTTCCTTTGATGTTCTGAGCTCATCTGTTAGGCTCAAGAGGCTTGAGCTGAGGATCTTTCTTTTCCCATTGAGCTTTACTGTAGCTTCCTTAGCTAGCCAGAAGCAAGCTCCCTACCTCCAGCCATCCTGTCCCTTGCTCTTGACTTGCTCCCTGAGCCTAATGTATACCCAGAGCTTTGGACTCAGGCTCCCTGCTTCACTCACCTCCTTGTACTGCTCTCTCTACATTGTTAGAGACTACAAGTGGCTGCGTGGTATACCGTATTTGTTTTGCTAAATGAACAGAATTTTTAAAGGTAATTTTGACAATAAGTTATTTTCAACTATTGCTCTGACTTATAATCTAACTCTTTGATAGAGGAAATTGGGAAATTCTGGTTATTATTATTTGGATCTTACCTCAAAATGATTTTTCACATAGTGAAATCCTGTTCACCTACTAAAGCCTAGTTCAGGTCCCCCTTACTCACTGTCATCCCTCAGTACTCTGTACCGTGGTGGTGTGCCCTACTCATGATCTCCTGTTAGCACTTACTACGTGTGCCAGTCATCCATTAACGTGATCATATTTATGAAATCCCGATTCACAACTTCAATATTTTTGGTTTCTCTCTCTTTCTCACAACAGATGTTATGGAGATGTGTTAAAAATCATTAGCACAGAATTGAGGCCATCTCCCTAATGTAATAAAAATAATTGCAGTGCCTTGTAAAGGAAAAAGTAGAGTTTGCAGTTTTAGTGTCTCTTTCTTTTCCTCTTTCCTCTCCCCCCCCCTCCTCCTCCTTCTTCTTCTCCTTCTTCTTCTTCTCTCTCTCTCTCTCTCTCTCTCACATATAATCTGATATGTTAAATTGTGGAAGTCTTTATAACCATCTCTCCTACAAGATCATAAATTCCTTGAGGGTTTTCCTTTGTATTCTCCAGACTACACAGGAAGGCCTATGTCATATAATAAATATCAGTACATACTATGTTTGATGTTACCATGACTTGAATGAGTCTTGTGTTCCATATTTGGCTTAAGATCTTGATGTCAGGTTTTAAAACCTATATATATTAGAGGCCTGATGCACGAAAATTCATTCAAGAGTAGGCCTTCCTTCCCCTGGCTGCCGGCACCAGATCCCTCTAGCACTCGGGACCCAGGCTGCTTCCTTCAAGCCACCCTGGCCCTGGCTTAATCAGGAAGGATGTCTGGAATGATATCCAGAAGACATCTGGTCTAATTAGCATATTACCCTTTTGTTATTATAGGTGATGTTGAACATTTCTACTTCATTGTGTTGTTAAGTGAAATAATTTAAAAACTTTCTTATACACATTAGAAACAGGGTTTTAAGATGGTTGCACTGAGTATAAAATAACAGCCTAACTATGGCTACTGTAAATTACAGATTTGATCACATGCTTATTTACTTACATAGATTAATCTAGTTTAAATGCTTCCTTCAGTAGTTAATGAGATTGGAAATTTACTTGTGATAATGTTAGACTCCAACTTCTGTTAAATAGATAATCATAAAATAAGATGAAGTTTGAGCACTTGTTTACATTTCTATGCAGTAATTTTCTATTTTTATATATATCTTTTTCCCATTAAGAAGGCAAGTATGCAAGTATGTGGAACAAGTTACTCATTATTTGATTTACTTTTCTTAGATTTCTAGATTAAGATACTTTAAAAAACATACTGTTTTTCTTTTCTTGTAATTTGGTTAATTAAAATTACTTAGTTCTTTTTAAAAACCTTGTCAATATTGATGTTGATCAATGGTATAAAAATTTACCTATTTATAGAGATAAATATTTTGGCTTCTTAAACATATTTGGATTTTTAAATTAGTATATGTTCTCAAACTAGATGGTTCATATCTCTGTCTCACGTGACATGTCTCTTCAATCTCATGTCTATTGAAGTTATTTGTATGTCTGTTATTTTTCAAAGGATTTGACACAGGAACTATATCTTTCAAGTCATATCTTTCAAATCCTTATAGCCTAATGTAGTGCCATACATATCAGACACTCGAATAATGTTTGCTGAAAACACAAATGAATGAATTTCATAAATATATTAAAGTTTGTTTCTTCTAGCCATTTATTATATCTAGATTCATTAACTTGGACTAAAATTGTGATTATTATAAGCCAAAGGAAATAAGAAGGTCAGTGCAGTAGTAAGTCTTGGGCATAACCACAAAAGTGAGCTCTTGCTAGAAAACCTCTGGCCCTTAGTCATGTTTTTCACCGAAAGAAAGTTTTGATCTTATATTTCACCAGGAGAGGTGAAATAAAAGTGGTATCCTATACATTTATAACATATATAGGAATAAAATATCAGCAAGGTGGCATGTGAGAAATATTTTCATCTATCTTGAATTTTTTGGTTTTTTTGCTCCATAGTGAAAACAGATTTTTGAAAAATATTTTGAAGTAATTTCTAAAGCATTTCCAATTTTATGAGATATATATTTCATTGGCTATGTGTTAACATGATTTTTTAAATACTTCCTTCTTTTTTTTCTTTTTGGAAGCATTCTTCAGGTCATGACAGAAGGGAAAACAACAGTTCATATCAAAGGACCATCTCTCCAGAAGACAGGTAAACAGTTTTATGTGTTCTGAATTCAATTTAAATGTTTTATAAGTTTAAGAAGTTACTTAACTCTTAGTTTCCCAATTTTAGAGTGGACAACTTCTTTTTTATGGTTTTATAAAGAATATTGAGTGGACTTGAGTATGAATCATTCTTGACTGACCTAGGTCTTTCTAGTAAATAAATCTAGATTTTAAGTAATTTTTTAGGTAAGAGGGAAGAACTTTAATATCTCTCTCTAGAACAGGGGTAGGCAAACTTTTTGACTCGAGGGCCACAATGGGTTCTTAAACTGGACTGGAGGGCCGGAACAAAAGCATGGATGGAGTGTTTGTGTGAACTAATATAAATTCAAAGTAAACATCATTACATAAAAGGGTACGGTCTTTTTTTTTTTTAGTTTTATTCATTTCAAACGGGCCGGATCCGGCCCGCGGGCTGTAGTTTGCCCACGGCTGCTCTAGAATGAGTTTATAAGGTGGAAAACTGAGTTGAAATTACATTATTTTGAGGTGCTGCTTTTGCTGTTACTACTATCCTTTACATTTACAGAGCTTTTTATAGTCTTTAAAATACTAGTATTGTTTATATATCATGTTAAGATCAAAGATGCAGAAATATTACCATTATATTCATCATGCTTTCATATGGACTTAAGTTATTTCACTTAGTAAACCATGACTATTAAAAATAATTTATGAAGGGAAAAGCACCCTCTAAACTTTCTTTCATTTGTCTAATCTCTTCCTCTCCTTGCTAAAAATCTCCTTTCTCTGCTAAAAATCTTTCTTCATGGGCAAGTTAATTGCCATGGTTTGCAACTACTTACTACCTTTCATCAGTCATCTACTCTCTATATTTAAAAAAATAATCTCTCTACACACAGACTTAAATGTGTATATAAAATATTGATTATGTTACTATGTATATTTATTATGTGGGTGTGTATTTAACTTCTCTTAAGGTTCTCTGATTTTACTGATTTTTAACATTCAAATAGCAGATTTTATACTATTCATCCTTGTTTTTAGTAATTTTAATCCATTGTCACTGCTGTCCAAAAATGCAGTTTCAAGAACAATCCTATATAATAAAAGCCTAATATGCTAAGTGTCCAGTCGACCGGTTGGCCATTCAATCAATCAAAGCGTAATATGCTGATGATATGCTAAGGCTGCTCAACAGCTCGCTATGATGTGCACTGATCACCAGGGGGTAGACACTCCGACCGGTAGGTTAGCTTGCTGCTGGGGTCCGGCTGATCCGGGACTGAGCAAGATGGCTGGATACGCTCTGGAGCCCTCCCGCAGTCCCTCCCTGGATGGCCAACCTCCTGTATCTCTCCCCAGCCTCAATCGTGCACCATTGTGGTCTCTAGGTCTGGCCTGTGCGCTCTCATAATCCGGGACCCCACAAGAGATGTCGAAGAGCTGGTTTTGGCCCTATCCCGCTCAATGCAGGAGCTGCCCCCTGGTGGTCAATGTGCTCCCACAGGGGGAGCACAGCTCAGCCAGAAGCCGGGCTCACAGCTGGCGAGTGCAGCAGTGGTGACAGGACCCTCTCCCACCTCCGTGACAGTCCGACATCCCCTGAGGGCTCCTGGACTGCGAGAGGGCGCAGGCCGGGCTGAAGGACCTCCTCTGCCCCGAGTATACGAATTTTGTGCACTGGGCCTCTAGTAGCTTATAAAGTCTTTTGGAGTGAAGTTAAACTGGTCTTTATAGACACGAACTGATGACATTGATCTCATTTATTCAGTGTTTTGATAAAATGAGTAGATATAGACTAAGCAAAAGAAGTCATTTTCAGGATGAGTGTTTTTCATGCTGACTATATACGATATCCAGATACATATCTTGCTAAGGACAGTGTACATCAGGATGACAAGTTTGGTTAAGTGAATTCCAGCAGTTGTTTTGTTGTTGTGTACAACAAAGCTTTTATAATCAAGACTGAATGAATGGGTGTCAAATAATGAGCTGTCTGTTAAAAACAGTTTGATAAGACATTTTTTAATCATAGAGTTGCTTTACATTACCAATGTATGGCTTTCCTAAGTGTAACATAGCTGTTTTCAACTTTGGTTTTCTTATTTGCTGTGTTAGATATGCAGAACAAGAAAGATCCCCCCGGGATAGAGATTACTTTGAGTACAGCAGGTCAGACAATGAGCGTTCAAGAAGAGGACGTTCTTATGATGGCAGCATGGAGTCACGGTTAGTATTGGAAATTTTAACTATAGGAAGAGTGTATTAGTTTAACTTTTCTTTGTTCTTTATAATAAAAACAATAATAGCATTAAGTGGATGATCTTCTAATAAGGACTTCATGTAAATTAGTTCTATTGCAGTAAGTGTATGATGGTAGATGCTGTTATGTCTATTTATAGATCAAGAAACAGGCTTAGATGGGGGGTAACATGGGGATAAGGACACATGTAATAACTTAACAAAAAAATTTAAAAAAAAGAAACAGGCTTAGAGAAGTTAAAACATTTGTGTGTGTTTTAGAAGCATGTTAGTCTCAAATCTGTCTGACTCTAGAGCCGAAGCTCTTATTCATTATACGGTACTGCAAGAGGAGTTGGCTCGTGTGTTTTGAGATTCTTTACTGAATGAAAGGAAGTTGTTTATATTATATGACCTAAAGTGATCTAAATTTACTTTCCTGCATAATGGCAAATGAACATTGAAAATGAAGTTACCAATCTGTGGTTTTAATCTAAATATAAGTTATTATTCTTAGTCTTGGAGAACTTGACTACCCACCTTATTAGTCATCTAGTTTCAAAAACTTGTCTACCATGTTTTATTGTTCACTAAGTTCTTACTGATTTTGATATCTCTGTCGGTACCTAATCCATGACTTCCAAAACTGTATTCCTACTAGAATTTTGATCAAAACTCTGCAATTTGGTGCTTAAATGCATTATTTGATATCTGCAGCTCAAATTTCCTTTTCACTTCTCTTACTTTCATATATATCTCCAGTCTTCAAATGTCAGATTAAATGAACCTCCAAAAGCCAGTCCCATCTTCTGTCACCTTAATGACACCTTAATAAAAACAACTACTATCACCATATTTAGTGTGCTAGGCCACTGGTCGGCAAACTGCGGCTCGCGAGCCACACGTGGCTTTTTGACCCCTTGAGTGTGGCTCTTCCACAAAATACCGACTTCTGCGCATGGGCCACGAAGTTTCAATCGCACTGTACATGCACGCCCGCACGTGGTATTTTGTGGAAGAGCCACACTCAAGGGGCCAAAGAGCCGCATGTAGCTCACGAGCCGCAGTTTGCCGACCACTGTGCTAGGCATTTTGAATACTTTCTCACATACAAGCTAGATACTGTTTTTCACAATTTAGAAAAGAGGACTGGTTTGAAGTGATTTGAGTAATTTACCCAAAGTGGCAGTTACCTGTCTGGTAGATGATGAAACTGGGATTTGAACTCAATTCTCACTCTAAAGCCCATGATTTTTCCATCATCCCTGACTGTATTACTTCACTGTAAGTCTGTTTGGCCCATTTTATGTACAAAAAGTCTCATTTGACCCACACAGTCACACTGAAGTATTAAGGTAGAATATAATGGCTAACAGTCCAAAAGCATTTGAAGAGAAATATTTCTATCTGGATTCAAAGGAGACTGTGTTGCTCATGCACTCTAAAGGAACCAGCACTATAATTATAAGGACACGATTTTATCAGCCAGTTAGTAGTTTTAGTCGGTGGTTCTCAGAAGAATCATAATCATTGCTGTTAGCTACTCTCTTGGAACATGTTATGTTCATAACAGGAAGCAACTCCGTTGCAAATCAGTGCCTAGATTTCAGAGCACCTGACTTTGTGACTAATTGGGGTTTCTAGACATCATTTTCAAACTGACTGCTTTTTCTCTGTCTCTAGGTTGCATTACTGTATATTAAAGACAGTAATCTCATATGCCCTCTAAGATTTAGGTAAAATCTAATTCAGGTGGGTTTCCTGGGTAGTGCAGCCTCTTGCTTTTCATAAAAAATAAATAAAAACAGTTTTTATTTACT